TAGCCTACATAGATACAGTGGAAGCTGTTAGTTAGTTAGTTAGTTAGCGTGACACCATACCCCTGTAGCTCAGTTGGTAGAGCATGGCGCTTGCAACGCCAGGGTTGTGGGTTTGTTTCCCACGGGGGGCCAGTATGAAAAAAAAAAATTATGCACTCACTAACTGTAAGTCGCTCTGGATAAGAGCGTCTGCTAAATGACTAAAATGTAAAAATGTAATACCTCAGATGGTGTATTCAGATTTGAATGCACGTTAGGCCCAACCTCAACGGAAGAACCTGCATACGGAAAGTGGGACAGAGTTCACCCATTAGACCACAACAGGACAGTTAACAGTTAAATATACACGAGTTGAACCACACCAGCCATCTGTCTGTGTGTCTGTCTGTGTGTGAGGCCCAATAGGCACATCTTGCAGGTTTGCGAGGCAGCCAGTGTGTTAGCGTACAGTAACAGTTTGGCATCCCTCAGCCCAAGCAAGGCCCCAGGCCTAATCTACCTACAGAAATACCTTTATATCTTCACTTCAGATATTATATTGTTGTTTTTATACACCACAGAGGCTGATTCTTACATGGGCAGCGACTGTTCATTTTGGTACTTCCTCAAAACGCTCGCTTCCAGTTTGACTGTCAGTGTCAGTGTCAGTGATGATCATGTCTCAGACTCACAGAGCTGCTATACAGTGGCATATTTGTAGTCAGATGCTAGCTACTGCATTAGCCTCTCTGTAGCCATGTTGCTAGTAGCTCTGGCCAAACCATGATATAATCCAAGTGTCCAGTTAAACTCAACCTAAGTCACTGGCAGCTTTAGAGAACCTTTGGCATCCTTATCACCTGTCAATTGCCTGCCTTAGATAATAAAGCCCATCTTCTGTGCTATAGCCAGTGTCTCTATTTTGAGTCAGAGCTGTTGTCCTAAAATGGCTGCCTGAAATCCCCTACTCACTTTACGCTCAGCCTGGCTGTACAGTAACATTACAAGTCTCTCTCTCTCGCTCTCTCTCTCTCTCTCTCTCTCTCTCTCTCTCTCTCTCATTCACCATTCCCAAGATCCCTCTGTCTCACAGAAAGGTCAAGCTCTTGAACCGGATATGCCACTTCTAATCACACAACCAACAAACCTTACCTTCTCCATGGGCTTGGGTTTTTGAACATCTGTAGCTGTCTTAATTTTAAAAAATGTGTTGGTAAAGTTTGGACAGTCTCAGCTTTTCTACATGTAATTCTCTGATATTTTCTAGAACCTCTAGAACGGTTTTGATTCACTAAATGATCTGTGAGTACAGAGAGCCTCATTGAGATGGAGTGGCAAGTGTATTCTCATTCATGTCTCTCCACATGGGCCCACTCCACTGTACAATGGTCCAGCCAGGAGGATGAGAGAGAGGCAGGCAGAGCTGACGATGCAGCTGGATGGAGTGGCTCTAGGAGAGGCTCCCATACAAAACACACAGGTGCATCCATGCACATGCTCTGTGCACACGTACGCTGTCATGCACCGGCACAATACGTCATTCATCATATTGAAAGTCACACAACTTAGACAAATACTGTTTGACACACACTCTGACACTATACTATCACAATCTTACACATAGGTACTCAAGCATGCAGACATGCGCGCACACACCCACACACACTCACACGCACACACACACCCACACACACCCACACACCCACACACACCCACACGCACACACACACACACTCACACGCACACACACACCCACACACACCCACACACCCACACATACCCACACGCACACACACACACACACGCTCACACACTCACACACACACACGTTTTACTAATACTGTTAGACAGACACTTTTTCTTTTACCACTAGCTGTCGTTTTCTCTTCAGATTGTTCAAATTGAACTTTCGTTTTCATTTCCAAACAACAAAAACCTTGCTCTCAAATTAAACAGAGATCAGCAGGGGGAAATTGCCCAGGAAGACATCTGCGACTCATTTTCCCTATGATTAGGAAATTCATTTATGTCTAACGTATAATTCCTGCCCCTCTTTCAAGTGGGACATGTCCATACAGCTCTCAGTGTTCTACCCATAGGAAGACGGGGAAAGCAGGCTGTGGGATTGGGTTAGAACAAAGAGTATACACTGCTCACTCTCTCTTGTTTTTAATGAGATGTTGCTGGGAGGGTGCCCCACTGGTTTGTGTGTGGCGTGGGTGCTAAACTCAGTCCTCCATTCAGTCTGTCAGAGGATGAGGAATATGGATTGGGTGTCTACCCCAGGGCAGGGTCTTTGTCTGGAAGCGGCAACGCGTGTTTAGCGCTGATGGACAAATGATGGGCCCTGTCCCACTGTGGTCTCCAAGGCCCTAATTTAATGTTTTTACACATCTCACCAGCCATCACTGGCTAGATGCAGGGTAAATGATAGTGACAGCGGTAAAAGATACAGTCCTCGAAGAAATCAAAGAAGATGTCTTCACAAACCCAGAATTCTGTGAGTTATTGGAATCACTGTGTGAAAGTGACCACTCTCTGGCTCTAGGACAGTAGCATCTCCACCCCTCCACTAGTTGAAGAATTTGAATATTTGCAGAAGTAATGGTATCCTCAGTACAACATGCTACTGTGGTCTGAGAACAATATGTAGGATACACTAACAGAGGTCTATTGAACAGTATAATTGATGGCTCCACTCTCTCTCTTCTCTCCCTCTCCACTCTTTAGGCAACGGCTACGGGAACCACCACCGTAACTCGCCCGGTCTACTGGTCTCTCCGGGCAACATGAACAAGAGCATGCAGGCCAAGTCTCCCCCGACCATGAACCTGGGTATGAACAGCAACCGCAAGCCTGACCTGCGGGTGCTTGTCCCCCCTGGAGCCAAGAACAACATGCCCTCCATCGTGAGTCGCTCAATCACTTCACCCCTAGTCCCAGTCTCAGTCCCAGTCTCAGTCCCAGTCCCAGTCCCAGTCCCAGTCCCAGTCCCAGTCTCAGTCTCAGTCCCAGTCCCAGTCCCAGTCCCATTCCCAGTCTCAGTTCCAGTCCCAGTCCCAGTCCCAGTCCCAGTCCCAGTCCCAGTCCCAGTCTCAGTCTCAGTCTCAGTCCCAGTCCCAGTCCCAGTCTCAGTCTCAGTCTCAGTCCCAGTCTCAGTCTCAGTTCCAGTCTCAGTCTCAGTCTCAGTCTCAGTCTCAGTTCCAGTCTCAGTCCTAGTCCCAGTCCCAGTCCCAGTCCCAGTCCTGATCCCATCCCCCTTTTTTACTTTGTCTTTTTGTTATGTCCTCTCAGTTGATATCCTCTCTGTGTGTTTCTATTGTCTTTTTGAGTGTTTGTCTTCAGTGGCTGTAACTGTCCTTCAGTGGCTGTAACTGTCCTTCAGTGGCTGTAACTGTCCTTCAGTGGCTGTAACTGTCCTTCAGTGGCTGTAGCTGTGTTTCAGTGGCTATAGCTGTCCTTCAGTGGCTGTAGCTGTCCTTCAGTGGCTGTAGCTGTCCTTCAGTGGCTGTAGCTGTGTTTCAGTGGCTGTAGCTGTGTTTCAGTGGCTATAGCTGTCCTTCAGTGGCTGTAGCTGTCCTTCAGTGGCTGTAGCTGTCCTTCAGTGACTGTAGCTGTCCTTCAGTGGCTGTAACTGTCCTTCAGTGGCTGTAGCTGTCCTTCAGTGGCTGTAGCTGTGTTTCAGTGGCTATAGCTGTCCTTCAGTGGCTGTAACTGTCCTTCAGTGGCTGTAGCTGGGGTTCAGTGGCTGTAACTGTCCCATACATGTGCTGTCATAGGTTATGATTTTAACAAGATAGACTGTTAGTGTAGTACAGTAGTAATAGTACATTTCCGTTTCGAATGAGCTCCAGTTTAGTCGCTTCACTCCTGGAGTGGTTCCATTCTTAGAGCCACACCCGGCCACTTCCTCCATCCAATTAAACTAATCGGAATTTATCGCCCTCCCCTTCAATGCCGTCAGTCTGAGGATGTCGATCTGCTATTGGTAAGTGGGCATGTCACTCAAATTAGCCACCAAAAATAATAAAGATCCCCAAACACAGATGTCATCCATCACCCTCAGTTAGATTGAAGGGAGACCAGTCATTATTGTTTAAAGTGGCACACCAGTCTCCTTTTCACCTCATTTAACACCTGATTTACTTAACAAAAGGCACATCTCAATAGGTGGTCCAGGTAAGTCATGACATAGCACAAGGGGGGGGGGGGGGGGGGGGGGGGCCTTTCCCCTTTGTTCTCTATTGCCTCAAGCAAGGGGGAATTCCCATTAGACCAACTCCTTGAATGCACTGCTCCTTACAGTTTGCAGTTGTGTCTATAAAATCACTATTTTGTTCAAAACATATTTTTTTATCCTTTAGTGTGTGTACTTTACTGTATGTATACTTGGAATATCGCTTTTCAACTGTAAAAGTTGCTGGAGGACGTCTTTAACAATAGAAATACATCACCCCTGACTGAACTAGAGAATTATAGTTTGCTGAGTGTAGTTGAGTTGCTCCTAAGAGCTGATCTAAGGTCAGTGATTACTTTTTAGGTGGTGAAGGTTAGCATTAAAATACAGGGTAAGATTATCCTAGATGTCCACATAGGGGCAACTTCCACCTCAACCAATCCGCTGCATGCCTTGTACAGTATGTGTAGGGGTGGAGGACGTTTAGCCAGGGCCCAGGGTGACACCTAGTGGTGTTTCTGAGTCCTTGCATCCTGTCATGTTTCCCCTCTCACCCCCCTCGTTTCAACCCCCTACATTCCCTTCCTTCCATGTCTGATTCAGAGGCGTTGCATGGCACCTTAGCATACGTTTCTCCTCTCCCAGAACCAGGAAATGAAAGGCAACAATGGGAACACTTTTATATGGCATCAAACCGCCATCATTTCTGCGCCACACCCCGCCACAATAAAGTGCCTCTCCCAGCTGTTTCTGTTGCCGTGGAGACCAGCAGGGTTACTATAGCGACGGCGGGTCCTCAGAAGGGGTGGTAAATGATAGGGTTGGCAGGGTTCAGCCGTGCCGCATGTCAAGTGAATAATTTCCAAGAAGCTGGCATGTTGTTCATTCCCCTAGCATCTGTGGAGCAAAAAATAATAAATTACAAAGTCTATTTTTATTCCCAAAAAAATCTGGTGCTGACTTTGTTTGTGATGGCGCTCATGCTTTTCCGTCTCTCTCTGTTTCTTTCCGTCTCATAGAACCAGCGAATAAACAACTCCCAGTCTGCACAGTCATTGGCCACCCCTGTGGTTTCTGTAGCAACGCCCACCCTACCTGGGCAAGGCATGGGCGGTTACCCATCAGCCATGTCCACTTCATACGGTACTGGTAGGTACCACTGCTTCTATACCTGTTATACACATACACACACACACACACACACACACACACACACACATACACACATAAATGCATATATGCATACATACATACATACACACATAAATGCATATATGCATACATACATACACACAGTCTTTGTCACATACATATTTTATGTGTGTGTGTGTTTGTTACTACTTGCAGGGTTTCAGTGAGTTTAGAAAGTGACCTATACACACACGCCCCACCATTTACATTTGGATATGATTATTGATTTGATTTGATTTGATACGATTTATATATCGCATACACACAGATAGGCAGTTTTACAGGACTTCTCAGACATGATAGTGAATATAAGCATTTTTGATTTGATTTGATTTATTTCACCTTTATTTAACCAGGTAAGCCAGTTGAGAACAAGTTCTCATTTACAACGGCGACCTGGCCAAGATAAAGCAAAGCAGTGCGATAAAAACAACAACAACACAGAGTTACATATGGGATAAACAAAACGTACAGTCAATAACACAATAGAAAATCTATATACAGTGTGTGCAAATGTAGTAAGTTATGGAGGTAAGGCAATAAATAGGCCATAGTGCAAAATAATTACAATTTAGTATTAACACTGGAGTGATATATGTGCATAAGATGATGTGCAAATAGAGATAATGGGGTGCAAATGAGCAAAATAAATAACAATATGGGGATGAGGTAGTTGGGTGGGCTAATTTCAGAAGGGCTGTGTACAGGTGCAGTGATCGGTAAGGTGCTCTGACAACTGACGCTTAAAGTTAGTAAGGGTGATAAGAGTCTCCAGCTTCAGAGATTTTTGCAGTTCATTCCAGTCATTGGCAGCAGAGAACTGGAAGGAATGGCGGCCAAAGGAGGTGTTGGCTTTGGGGATGACCCGTGAGATATACCTGCTGGAGCGCATACTACGGGTGGGTGTTGCTATGGTGACCAATGAGCTAAGATAAGGCGGGGATTTGCCTAGCAGTGATTTATAGATGACCTGGAGCCAGTGGGTTTGGCGACAAATATGTAGTGAGGGCCAGCCAACGAGAGCGTACAGGTCACAATGGTGGGTAGTATATGGGGCTTTTGTGACAAAACGGATGGCACTGTGATAAACTACATCCAATTTGCTGAGTAGAGTGTTGGAGGCTATTTTGTAAATGACATCGGCGAAGTCAAGGATCGGTAGGATAGTCAGTTTTACGAGGGCATGTTTGGCAGCATGAGTGAAGGAGGCTTTGTTGCGAAATAGGAATCCGATTCTAGATGTAACTTTGGATTGGAGATGCTTAATGTGAGTCTGGAAGGAGAGTTTATGGTCTAACCAGACACCTAGGTATTTGTAGTTGTCCACATATTCTAAGTCAGACCCGCCGAGAGTAGTGATTCTAGTCGGGCGGGCGGGTGCAAGCAGCGTTCGATTGAAGAGCATGCATTTAGTTTTACTAATGTTTAAGAGCAGTTGGAGGCTACGGAAGGAGTGTTGTATGGCATTGAAGCTTGTTGTAGGTTTGATAACAGATCCAATTAAGGGCCAAATGTATACAAAATGGTGTCGTCTGCGTAGAGGTGGATCTGAGAGTCACCAGCAGCAAGAGCGACATCATTGATATACACAGAGAATAGAGTCAGCCCGAGAATTGAACCCTGTGGCACCCCCATAGAGACTGCCAGAGGTCCAGACAACAGGCCCTCCGTTTTGACACATTGAACTCTATCTGAGAAGTAGTTGGTGAACCAGGCGAGGCAGTCATTTGAGAAACCAAGGTTATTTAGTCTGCCAGTAAGAATGCGGTGATTGACAGAGTCGAAAGCATTGGCCAGGTCAATGAAGACGGCTGCACAGTACTGTCTTTTATTGATCGCGGTTATAATATCGTTTAGGACCTTGAGCATGGCTGAGGTGCACCCATGACCAGCTCGGAAACCAGATTGTATAGCGGAGAAGGTACGGTGGGATTCGAAATGGTCGGTGATCTGTTTGTTAACTTGGCTTTCAAATACTTTCGAAAGGCAGGGCAGGATGGATATAGGTCTGTAACAGTTTGAGTCTAGAGTGTCATCCCCTTTAAAGAGGGGGATGACCGCGGCAGCTTTCCAATCTTTGGGGATCTCAGACGATACGAAAGAGAGGTTGAACAGGCTGGTAATAGGGGTTGCGACAATTTCGGAAGGCTAATTTTAGAAAGAAAGGGTCCAGATTGTCTAGCCCAGCTGATTTGTAGGGGTCCAGATTTTGCAGCTCTTTCAGAACATCAGCTGTCTGAATTTGGGTGAAGGAGAAGCGGGGGGGCATGGGCAAGTTGCAGCGGAGGGTGCAGAGCTGGTGGCCGGGGTAGGGGTAGCCAGGTGGGTAGCAAAATGCTTGTTGAAATTCTCAATTATCGTAGATTTATCGGTGGTGACAGTGTTTCCTAGCCTCAGTGCAGTGGGCAGCTGGGAGGAGGTGCTCTTATTCTCCATGGACTTTACAGTGTCCCAAAACTTTTTGGAGTTAGTGCTACAGGATGCAAATTTCTGTTTGAAAAAGCTAGCCTTTGCTTTCCTAACTGATTGTGTATATTGGTTCCTGACTTCCCTGAAAAGTTGCATATCGCGGGGGCTGTTCGATGCTAATGCAGTAAGCCACAGGATGTTTTTGTGCTGGTAAAGGGCAGTCAAGTCTGGGGTGAACCAGGGGCTATATCTGTTCTTAGTTCTGAATTTTTTGAATGGGGCATGCTTATTTAAGATGGAGAGGAATGCACTTTTAAAGAACAACCAGGCATCCTCTACTGACGGAATGAGGTCAATATCCATCCAGGATACCCGTGCCAGGTCAATTAGAAAGGCCTGTTCGCTAAAGTGTTTTAGGGAGCGTTTGACAGTGATGATGGGTGGTCATTTGACCCGCGGACCCATTACGGACGCAGGCAATGAGGCAGTGATCGCTGAGATCCTGGTTGAAGACAGCGGAGGTGTATTTAGAGGGTAAATTAGTCAGGATGATATCTATGAGGGTGCCCATGTTTACAGATTTAGGGTTGTACCTGGTAGGTTCCTTGATAATTTGTGTGAGTTTGAGGGCATCTAGTTTAGATTGTAGGACGGCCGGGGTGTTAAGCATATCCCAGTTTAGGTCACCAAGCAGTACGAACTCTGAGGATAGATGGGGGACAATCAATTCACATATGGTGTCCAGGGCACAGCTGGCGGCTGAGGGGGGTCTGTAGCAAGCGGCAACAGTGAGAGACTTATTTCTGGAAAGGTGGATTTTTAGAAGTAGAAGCTCAAACTGTTTGGGCACAGACCTGGATAGTATGATAGAGCTCTGCAGGCTATCTCTACAGTAGATTGCAACTCCGCCCCCTTTGGCAGTTCTATCTAGACGGAAAATGTTGTAGTTGGGGATGGAAATTTCTGCATTTTTGGTGGCCTTCCTAAGCCAGGATTCAGACACTGCTAGAACATCAGGGTTGGCAGAGTGTGCTAATGCAGTGAATAACTCAAACTTAGGGAGGAGGCTTCTGATGTTAACATGCAAGAAACCAAGGCTTTTACGGTTACAGAAGTAAACAAATGATAGCGCCTGGGGAGTAGGGGTGATACTGGGGGCTACAGGGCCTGGATTAACCTCTACATCACCAGAGGAACAGAGGAGGAATAGAATAAGGATACGGCTAAAGGCTTTAAGAACTGGTCTTCTAGTGCGTTGGGTACAGAGAATAAAAGGGGCAGATTTCTGGGTGTTGTAGAATAGATTCAGGGCATTATGTACAGACAAGGATATGGAAGGATATGAGTACAGTGATTGAATAAATATAGCAAAATCAAGCAACAATAGGCTGTGCGGCTGTGAAACATGGTTTCATTATTTGACGTTAAAACACATTTTATTACACTAACCTAACAGCAGGTGGTGCTGTTCACACACATCCTATATCCCTCACAGCATCATCCCCTCGCTCACTAACACTATGATTAGTGGCACCTGTATTGGCCCAGCAGGAAAATTACTTTTATACTTCTCACTTCAGTAGCCATAATTCCAAACTAATGTACTTTGCCAACCTGTTTGAACTGGCCTGAACTGACTGGTTCTCTTTCTTTCTTTCTTTCTTTCTTTCTTTCTTTCTTTCTTTCTTTCTTTCTTTCTTTCTTTCTTTCTTTCTTTCTTTCTTTCTTTCTTTCTTTCTTTCGTTATTTATTTATTTCTTTCTCTTTCTCCCCCCCCCCCACCCCCACCCCACCACACACTCTCTCTCTCTCTCTCTCTCTGTGTGTGTAGAATACTCACTGAGCAGTGCAGACCTGTCCTCCCTGTCCGGCTTTAACAGTGGTAGCTCCCTCCACCTGGGCTCCATGAGCGGATGGCAACAGCAACACCTCCAGAACATGCAGCAGCACTCTGCCCTCAGTCAGCTGGGGTGAGTACAGCGGGATACACACAATACTATGTACAATATCTATTCTACAGGCTATCTACACAGGCAGTAGACAGATCAAAGAGAGGAGGGATGGATATTGAAATTAAGTTTGTTAGGGAAACTACCATGAAAATACTGATACATATTGAGAAGGTAAATGTTATATTCTGACCAGACATGATTTATGGATGTGGAGAAATTGAGTAAACTTGTGTGCTTGTGCTTGTGAATGATCATGTTTCCTCACTCTTTAACCCCATGTGTTTGTTTTCCTTTCCTTCCTACAGGAATTGCAATAGCAATCACTTATGTCACAATTCAAATCTCTCCCTGCCTTCTGCTCAAAGCCTGCACATCAAGTCCGAACCTGTTTCTCCTCCTAGAGATCGCACCAGCAGCACACCGGGGGGCTACGGCGTCCCACAGCAACAGAACCCCTCGTCCCGCCAGGACTCAGGCCGCTCCCCTGTCGACAGCCTGAGTAGCTGCAGCAGCTCCCACGAGGGCAGCGACCGCGACGAGCACAGGAACGAGTTCCACTCTCCACTGGGAATGTCCCGGCCTGCCCTGGACGGGCGCGAGAGCCCCTCGGTCAAACGCGTGCGCCTGTCCGAGGGATGGGCCACATGATAGCCACACACAGCGCTGGCCGTCGCTCAAGCTCCGCTCACGCTGCGACATCATGATGCCCCGACACACTTACCCTCGATATCACCACGCGACGTGTCACTCACCTCCAGAGCCCATGCTCTCTCTATCTCTCTCTCTCTCTCTCCCATGCTCTCTCTATATCTATCTCTCTCTCCCTCAATCTCATTGGAGGAAGGGGAGCACCCTTTTCTAAATGTAACTGTAATGTTTTCTTTTTGCTTTTTGCAGAGTATGTGTGCTATACATATTGGAGTTCTATAAAGCAGTGGGGGAGGTTGGTTGGGATGGGGTTAAGGGATATTTTTGGTGGGGAACTATGCATTACTTGTGCCGTGTGTGGGGGAAAAAAATGTATGCTTTTATATTTACACGTGTGTCTATGTGTACATATATGCATATCAACAAATAAACAAAAAAAGTCAGGTACTCTGTTTTGTAAAAGTACTTATAACTTTCCTCAGTGATAATCAGTGACTAGTACAGGCAAAAAATCCAGAGTGTAAGTTGCTGAGTGAACAGCCTAGCACTTGAGCTGGCCAACCAATACATGTGTACAGAGTCAATTTCATTGCTACCTTTCTCCGCAGTTCTCCCTCACAAAATGTTTGTTACAATAGATGATGTCATGTTGCAGGTTCAACGTATTTATGTAAATAGAGGGTCAGAGGGCAAAGGGGAGGGGTCAAAAGTTGCCAGACATTACAGATTATTCATACACAAAATGAAAGCTAATATGCAACATTTGAAGGAGTGTACAGGTATACCCGCAGGCCCGTTGGTAGATGTGAGGAACCAGGAAGAGAACCCATGCTAAACATAGAGCTCCTCCTCAAACATGGAGCATATTGATAGGACCATCCTTTTACCCAAGAGCCATGTTAGTGTAATCAAGAAACCCTTGGTCTTGTATTAGATATTCAGTATTTAAAAAAAAAACAGTTGTACGATACACTTGCTTATATTTTCATATGAAAGGAATACAATGCTAAACATTTTTGTGGCTTTTTGTAGTTTCTATAAGCCAGAATGTGTTTTTTGATAGCTTTGCTAACATGAGATGGATAGTCCGAGAATAAATGAAATGACTGGGCATCCAAACCAAGCCATGAGAACAGACTGAGAACCCATGCTTTGCTGAACTGTTTTCTCTTTGTAGAGGTTTTGTTTTTAAACGTGTATTTCTAATTATATATAATAATTATAAAATTAAGACTCTTTAAAAAATAATCCGTGAAATTAACATGCTTGTGTATAGCTTTCTAATATATAAATATATATAATAATGTTTGTTTTTTCTTAGTGGAGTTTCTTATGTGCAGTTGTTTGTTCTTTTGTTTTATTTGAACCTGGGACAGTGCTGTTCAGAGGCATATTTAGTCTAACCTTGAGAACCAGCTGAACAGAGTTGACCATGTCTGTGTTTGTGAGTAAATTAAGAAAGATAGACCTCTTTCAAACAACATGTTTGAGGAAACTGTGTGGGGATTGGAACAGGGGGTTAATGCCCAGGCAGGAGATGACATCCCACTGGGCAAAGACATCAGTTGAAGTTATAGTTTTGATTTAGATTTGGTTTGAGTTGTCAATTAACGTGAATTCAACGTGAAATCAACAAAACATGTCACCACGTCATTGGATTTAGTTTAAAAGGGTGAAGAAAATACGAAATTCCCTTTGAATTTGTGGGTTGAAATGATGTGGAAACAATGTCGATTCAACCAGTTTTTGCCCAGTGGGATGAGACATGCCAAATGAACGTTTGATATCACCCATGATGACCCAGCTTTGCTGTGTCATGATCCTCATAGTTAGGATTCTACAACAATACCCTCCAACATCCTCTTTGATGGCCCTTTGGCCGACGTATTGTGTATATTTTCAAGGTTTTATTTAATGTTTTCACTACAAGTCCTTTGCCAATCATCATAATGAGACCCAACCTTGTGTGCAGGACACCACATAAATCCAGATTGAAATATTTATTTGATAGTTCCAATTTGTATTTGTGTCAAATGATCGAGCTGTTGAGGATTTTTGCGGTCTCTAATCACGAGGTGTTGTGCTGTATTTGACCCCACTCAGTCCAATGGCCAGCTCAGTGTTCATGCTGGTTTAGGAGAAGCACGAGTTGATTTCAGACAAATATAACTTATAAAAAAACATGAAACTAGCCACATCTCTCTCTCTCTCTGCCTCTCACTCCCTAGTCTGCTGTCACTCAAGTGTCATGGTATTTCTATGTGCATATTTCATGCCAGTTCACTATGTTGTTAGTGTATGCAGTCTGTGTAGTCAGAAACAGGGGCAGAGCCCCTATGGTGTTCTTTCTTTTTTTTATTCAATACAAAAGATTTTTAAAATACATGATATTTCAGGCAGCATATGTGTGGAAAAACCAAAGCCAGTGGCATTTCTGTATTGTAATATTATTCAACTTTTATTTTCACATTCATTTATGGTTATTGCAAGCATTGAAAAAAAAAACAATAAAAGCATTTGCTCAAAATGTACAATTGGTTTCCATTTCCATTTCAATTCGGTCAGACTTCATAATGTTATATGTTAAACGGGTAGAGGTTTGGAATACCATTGCAAGTCCTTCTTAATACACGGTGGTAGCTAGCTATATAGTGTCATATGAAATTGCCTAATTTCATATTTTCAGAAGAAATTTCCTTGTGAACTGCATTTCAAATCCTAAAACAAATATGTGTAATTTTGAGTATATTCATTGATTCATTGAGTGTGTATCATGGAAAAGCATGTTCCAAATCCCATTTTTGTTCATTTAGCTGGTTGAGTTACTTTAGAAAAAAACACAACACCAAAATCTCCCTTTTTACCTGTAGTGTGCTTTCTGAGGTGTAGGTGGCATTTCTTGATATTGTGTAACCAAAGACATTGAGCATGTTTGATTTTATTTAAGATGTTATTTTGGTTGTGGATTTAAAGCAGTTGTATTTCTTCACCTGTTGATCAGTTGTAATGCCATTATTCCTGTATTAACTTATATATACTGGTACCTCTAATTGACCTACCCAGTACCTCAGCTAACCTGTTGATCAGCCACTTCTAGTGCAAAGGGAAGACCATACACTTGTACAGTCATCTGGTATTTACTTAAAGTCCCAACTATTCACTTGGGATTCTTTGATTGCTTTACATTGTTTGCGGTTTTCTTTATTTTAGTTGTATCCGTTTAATATATAATATATATATATATATATATATATATATATATATATATATATATATATATATATATATATATATATATATCTATATGTGTGTGTGTGTGTGTGTGTGTGTGTGTGTGTGTGTGTGTGGTGTGTGAATAGCTAAAAATGCTTACCAGTCTGTAGTATCTAATGTAGCTTGTATAAATCTGAAAATTGTCGCGGTCTGAAATTAGTGTTTGGAACGCAAGAGCGGCTTTCAGCGGCATAAGCTGGCCTTTGTCGCTACTTGAAGATACGATGTTATTCAATTAAAACCACATCTCTGTATCTCACGGGACTTGATTCAGCTGTATGTCGTGAAAAAGCATGGAATCTGAAATAAAAGTTTATTCTGCTGGGGAAAAGGTATTTGTATTTTGCAGAGAATTCAGTAAAGTTACTGGCTTTCTTAGTTATCCCGATGTTTTGGTGTGACTTCATTGTGTTTGTCCATTTCTCTCCATAGGCCCTTCACCTTGATACTTAAACACGGTAGACCCAATATGAATACAGATATTTTGTATATAAAGACAGAATCATTCATTTAATAATTTACATCATATTAACCAACAGTAACCAGATAATGACTAAATTAATGTGTGGTGTCATTTACATTCTACAAATATAACACAATATGGATGACATGACATTGAGACATTGAGACATGGCTAAGGCATTTCTTGCTTTATTTGTTCCAATTGTACAACATCATGGCATTGAGAGTCATGGGAACTCAAAATGCAGACTTTTATTTGACATTTACAACCAAGGTTTGTCTCACTTAACATTAAAATAACATAATTACCCCCAATGATATATTTTGCCAGTAAACATACATTTATTCTGAGTATTTTTAATGAAAAATTGCAACAAAGAAAGACAGTCCAAGAATGAGTAAAATTGTCCACATTTCGGAAAGACTGAAAATAATTATCGCATCGAATTTAATGCAACAATGGGTCACAGAGTATGAGCAATATGACAGAGCACAGAATAGCTTGATCGGTTAATAAATGAAAAAAACATGCTTGGATTCATTGAAGGTGCTTTGTCATATTCATCTTACATTGAGAATGGTTGTAGGATGGTTGTGGGATGGTTGAGAATGGTGTAATGATGCACTATACCCACCCTTTACCTATCAGTATGACAAACAATAACATATGTCCATAAATGGTTGGGAAAACTTGATATCAACAACAAGACATTTCAGAAATACATATTTTTACTTGTGATTAATTGACTGGTAGGATGAATGGTCTTTGTCATCCTGAAAAAGTCAATTTAAAATGGATGTGAATCGGAAATGTGAAACGTGAAACCAAAACCCGGGGAAAGGGCATTACACTATGAAACGATTAAGCAAACTGTGCGCAGTGTGACGCAGAACTAAACTTAACGATATTTGGACAATACATAGCACAAAATTAATTATTGCCACCAGAAACCTTCGTTATCAATTGCGCCCCCAATTTGCATGTCTATTTGTATGTATATATTTGTTATAATATAAACTGTCTCGGAGTACAATGATGCAATAATAGGCTATCGAATTTATTGATTAAAAAAATAAGGACCGTTTTAGGCCTCAGCCTATTTGCATTCCATTGCTGCATAGCCTATTTAATTTGTTCCTACATTTTATAGGTAACCTCGTTTGATTCACATTACTTAAGACAGAGTGAAATCATATAGGCTAATTCGATAATGAAAGCACATGCCTTATATGTTACATAAAAAGTGCCGTGACCCGGATTCGCT